AAAAAACCTTTTTTTTTTTTTTAATTAGGGAGGAGAGGCCCATTCTTAAAATAGAAAAAAAAACGTTTTTTTTTTTTGGAAAAATCAAAAGGCCCCAGTAGCATAGTCCTTTGGTTATCCAGGTTTTTATTGTACCTGTTACGTGAATGGTAATGTGTTGTATTTTTTTCTACAACTGGGCAGGGGCAGGAATGTTTTTTACACAGTGTCCCCCCATCACGTGAGCCATGCATTTTCTCATAAAATAAAAAAAAAAACATTCCACTAGCCCATGGTCACAAACTCTCCCACGCCCACATGGCCTCTGGCCCCTTGAGTGTGGCTCTTCCACAAAATACCGACTTTTGTGCATGAGTCACAAAGTTTCCAATCCACTGTATGTGCGTGCCTGCACATGGTATTTTGTGGAAGAGCCACACTCAAGGGGCCAAAGCCGCATGTGCTCACGAGCCACAGTTTGCTGACCACTGCACTAGAAAATAGGAATTTTAAATTATAATTTTACTAGAGGCCCGGTGCACGAAATTTGTGCGGGGGAGGGGGAGGAGGTCCCTCAGCCCAGCCTGTACCCTCTCCAATCTGGGACCTCTCGGGGGATGTCCCTCTCGCAATCCGGGACCACTGGCTCCTAACCACTTGCCTGCCTGCCTGCCTCATCGCCCCTAACTGCCTCTGCTTGCTGACCTGATCGCCCCCTAACTGTTCCCCTGCCCTGATCGCCCCTAACTGCCTCTACCTCGGCCCCCGCCACCTTGGCTTTGCCCGAAAGGATGTCCAGTCTAATTAGCATATTACGCTTTTGTTAGTATAGGTGAGACCACCTTTGTATGTACAGTTCATCATTGACCAAAATGTTGTTATGCAGTAGGTGACTATTTAGCAGGGTGTCTGTGTCCATTTTCTTTCACTTGGCTTGCTTTACTTATGTATATTCTCCTGTCTTGACCCTGTGGACATTCCAATTTGCAACCTCCTCCTGAGCATCTTGGAACTCTCTCAAGGTTCTGTCCTATTCCTTTTGGAGGCCCTTCGTTCCTTTGTACTGCCCTAGCTTACCCTCAATATCTGAGTCTGTTTCTATGGAGAACTACTGAGATTTCTGGTGCAAGAAGATCCATGTTTTCTCAAGCCCGTTTGCTTCATTCTCCCACTACCTACACCTTGCAGAAAAGAAAAAAAATTTCCCCACCAACTTACTAATGATTAGATTTTTATTGAAGCAGAAATTTCCACTCAATTCTTGTTAGAGATTGAAGGTTTAAAGTGCAATCACCTTGAAGAAGGTCCATTAGCAAAAATTTATTCACTAACATATCAGTAAGTGAAAGCCAGAGTATAGCTTAATTCTGTTTTATTTTTTATTATTTTTTAAAATATATTTTTATTGATTTCAGAGAGGAAGAGAGAGATAGAAACATCAATGATGAGAAAGAATCATTGATCAGAAGCCTCCTGCACGACTCATACTGGGGATTGAGCCTGCAACCCAGGCTTGTGCCCTGACCGGGAATCAACCACTGAGCCATGCTGGCTGGGCTAGCTTATTCTGTTTTAATTGATACGATTTTATATGATTAAGAAAGCCCTGGGAAACTGGTAGAGGGCAGGAGGGTTTTCTTAGGAGAGAATGGAGATAGAGATGAAGTAGAGAATGTAAAAAAGTGAAAAAATTAAAATACAACTGTTTCATGTCAAAATTTGTAACAATTTTTTTAGTTTGTGGGCACATGGATTGTAAGTGGAACAACCCCCAAGTTTTAGTGGAAACGTCTTTCCATATAGGCTTAAATTCTGTGTGTAAAATTATTGTTACCATTTGTTTTGCAGACTGTGGGATTAGTGATATGCTTTCCTAAACAGCAGCAAAGTTGAAGATGTCTAGACACTTGGTGGCTTTGACAGTGACCACTCTTCTTGGTGCGGCAGTGGGGGCATTTGTCCTGTGGAAAGGCATCCAGCGCCGGAGGAATAGGAGCAGCCGTGGAGCCTGGCGGCGGCGGCAGCAGCAGCAGCAGCAGCAGCAGCAGCAGCACCAGCTGCAGCAACACCAGCACCAGCAGCAGCAGCAGCAGCAGCAGCAGCAAGCTCCAAGCAGGACCGAGCTGCCCCCGCCAGAAGTGGACCAGTTGCCTTCCAGTGCCCCCAGAGCCTCATGGGAGGAGAGGATCCTGGAAGCAAAGGTGGTCACTGTGTCTCAGGAGGCAGAGTGGGATCAAGTTGAACCCTTGCTTAGGAGTGGGTTAGAAGATATTCCAGTACTTGGAATCGACTGTGAGTGGGTAAGTTAAAAAGCAAAAATAAGACAAATCATGTCTGCTTTTCCAACTAGAGGTTTTGAGTCATCAGGTAAAGGATAAGATTAAAGATTAGCTTGTTCTCAACTTGCTGGTAAGTAGACTAACAGAAGTTGCTTCTCAGGATAAGGGAATGCTCATAATCATAGATTCTGAAGCCAAGCAGATCCATATGAGTTCCAAGTTCACCACTTACCGTTCTGTGAACTTGGACATGCTACTTAAGTAAGTTCAAGCCCCAGTGTACTTTTTTGTAATAGGAATTTAATTGTATCTACCTCACAGGGAATTTCTAAGGGTTCAGATAGCCTCTATAAAGCCTTTAGCACAATTTTAACATATAATAAGTGATCATTAAATACTAGCTACTATTAATATTTTAATAGTATTTTTATAAGGATGCCATGGAGAAGTTCATTAAGGAAGTCTATTAAATGGGAATTATTATACAAATCAGAATTTTAAAAGATAATTTGAAATATTGTTTAGTCTAAGCCAGGTACTATGTCTTTTTGTTTGATCATTTAATTTAATTTAATTTAATTTTATTCTCTTAATAATTCTATGTAGGGAAATGCTATAACTATCCTCACTTTTACAGATAGGAAATTGGGGCATAAAAAGGCCACAAAACTGGTAACTAGCATTGGAGGCCAAGGGCTTTCTTCACCATCTGGTTACTTTTTCTAATGGCTGTTAACTTTAGGGGAGTTGTTGCATGGTTGTGATGATGATAATATGGCACACCTACTCTTCTGTCATTCTGATTCACAGAGTGAACTTTAATCTTGAAACAGAAGATATTACAAAAATATAAATTACTCAGAAGTATCATCTTACTAATTCAGTGTTATACCTTACCAAGAATCTCTGATATTTGTTTTCTGGATATCTAGAATATAGCCAGGAACCAGAAAATGTAATCAAAAGAAGCTTTAAGCAGAATAGTTGCCACAAAATCAGATCAAGGTTGATAGGAGTGCCTACTAGATGTAATACAATGATGACCAAAAAGAGAACACCTGACAGTGTGGGGATATTTTAGTAGTCACACAGGTCCTACACCTTAGCTACCGAGGGTATTTCTTTTATCATCAATAGTAGTAGTTTATACAAATGACCTTGGACCATCAAGAAAGAATTGGAGGCCCTGGCTGGATAGCTTGGTTGGTAAGAGCATTATCCCGATACACCAAGGTTGCGAGTTCGATTCCCTGGTCAGGGCACATACAAGAATCAACCAATGAATGCATAAATAAGTGGAACAACAAGTTGATGTTTCTCTCTCTCTAAAAACATCAATAAATAAAAGAAAGACAGAATTAGGCACTTTTATCTACACTAATAAAAGAGAAAAATGCAAATTAACCATCACTCCGCCACTCCGCTACACCCACCAGCCAATCAGGAGTGAGTATGCAAATTAACCCAACTAAGATGGTGACAGCCACAGAGCTGGAGTGAGCAGGAGGCTTGGGTTGCCCCCGGCGATGGAGGAAGCCAAGCTTCCCACCTGCCCTGGCTGGCCCTGGGCTCCGCTCAAGGCTACAAAGTTTCAATTATAGAAGATAAATAAATCCCAAATACCTGCTTCCAGCCCGCCTTGTCCTCCGCTCAAGGAGGCGCTGAAAAAAGAATAAAAGGAGAGGCTGGGAGCTTGGGTCGCCAGGGGGTGTGGCCAGCCTGAAAACAGCCATCAGCCCCTCACCCAGGCTGGCCAGGCACCCCAGCGGGACCCCCCCACCCTGAAGGGGCTGTGGCCAGCCTGCAAACAGCCCTCAGCCCCTCACCCAGGCTGGCCGCGCCCCCCAGCAGGGACCCTTACCCCATGGGGGTGTGGCCAACCTGCAAACAGCCATCAGCCCCTCACCCAGGCTGGCCAGGCACCCCAGTGGGGACCCCCACCCTGAAGGGGGTGTGGCCAGCCTGAATACGGCCCTCAGCCCCTCACCCAGGCTGGCCAGGCACCCCAGCGGGACCCCCACCCTGATTCGGGACACCCTTCAGAGGCCCCCACCTGTGCACCAGGCCTCTATCCTATATAATAAAAGGGTAATATGCAAATTGACTCTAATAGCAGAACGACTGGGAATGACTGATCACTATGACACACATTGAACACCAGGGGGCAGACGCTCAATGCAGGAGCTGCCCCTGGTGGTCAGTGTGCTCCCACAGGGGGAGCTCTCCTCAGCCACAAGCCAGGCTGATGGCTGCCAGCACAGCGGTGGTGGTGGGAGCCTCTCCCGCCTCCTCAGCAGCGCTAAGGATATCCAACTGCAACTTAGGCCTGCTCCCTGCTAGCAAGTGGACTTCCCCTGAGGGCTCCCGGGCTGTCAGAGGGATGTCTGAATGCCAGCTGGCAGGTGGACATCCTCCGAGGGTTCCCAGACTGTGAGAGGGCACAGGCTGGGCTGAGGGACCTCCCCGAGTGTACAAATTTTTGTGCACCGGACCTCTAGTTTTATATAAGAAATGATATCCTTTTAGAAATATTTACACCAACAGTAGAAGAAAACATTAGTAAACAGTGAGCTTTAGTAGATTAGGAAAATTCACATTTGTCAAATACCTTGATTATTCTAACTAAATGAAGTATAAGCATAGTAACAACTGGATATTCTGAAGTGAATAGTTACTAACAACCATTGACTTAATAATAATAGGGTTTGCCCTAACTGGTTTGGCTCAGTGGAGAGAGTGTCAGCCTGCGGACTGAAGGGACCCAGGTTCTATTCCAGTCAGGGGCATGTACCTTGGTTGTGGGCACATCCCCAGTCGGGGGTGTGCAGGAGGCAGCTGCTCAATGTTTCTCTCTCATCGATGTTTCTAACTCTCTGTCCCTCTCTCTTCCTCTCTGTAAAAAATCAATAAAATATATTTAAATAATAATAATAATAATAATAATAATAGGGTTTAATTATAGCAGAGGCATGGAAAAGTTAAAGTGGCAAATAATACAAAACCCACTTCATTTTGGCTCTTGATATGTATTAATTTCATGCTCGATGCCACCTCTCCCTTGAGGACTGATTGCATTTCTCCGATTGCTGCCACTGAAAAACTTTATGAAAAAGTCATCCATCCTTGTTCACCTTTCTTCCATTTCTGTTGCCCTTTCTCTTTCATTTACTTTGGTGCATTTGTTTAGTTACTGTTTTTGCTCTTGTTTTACAGTCAGTAGTTGTTTAGATTTACCAAAGAATTTACCTTTTTTTAGTTTTAGTTTGTCTTTTTAAAAAAATTATTGATTTTGAGAGAGAGAGAGAGAGAGAGAGAGAGAGAGAAACAGAAGCATCGATTTGTTGTTCCACTTATTTAGGCATTCACTGGTTGATTCTTGTATGTGCCCTTACCAGGAATCAAACCCACAACCTTGTGTATCACGACAATGCTCTAAGTCAGCCAGGGCCTAGTTTGTCTTTATACCTCAGACCTTTTTTTTAGGGTCGTTTTCTTTAAGGTCATACTTTAGAAGTTCATTTTTTGAGGTCTCATTGATAATAAACATTGTTTTGAAAATGTCTTTATTTTGCTCTTGATCTTGAAGATATTTTCACTGGATCTAAAATTTTAGTTTGGCAGTTTATCATAATTTTTAACATAGTTTTTCATTATATTCTGGCTTCTATTGTTGCTATTGAAAATCACTGCTAGTCTACATGTTGATTCTTTATAGGTAATCTAATTTTTTTTAGCTCCTTTTAAGGTCTTTTCTTTGAGTTTGTGGTTCTAAAAATTCATTATGATGAGACTAGGTGTTTTCTTTCTGAATTTCCAGCTTGGGATTCAGAGAGAGATGAGGATTGATATATTTTAGCAATTTTAAAATTCTCTTTAAAGATTGTCTTTACTCTGTTTTCTTCTCCATTTTCTTCTCCCCCTCCTTCTCTTCCCCTTCCTTCTCTTCTTCCTCTCCCTCCCCCTTCCTCTTTCTTGCTGGAATTTGATCAGCTACATTCTCAACATTTTTTTAAAAATAGGTTTTATTGATTTCTAGAGAGAGAGGAAGGGAGAGGGATAGAAAAATAGAAACATTAATGAGATTAGAGAGAAACACCATTGATCGGCTGCCTTCTGCACACCCCTTACTGGGGGTCGAGCCCACAACCTAGACATGTGCCTTGACTGGGAATCAAACCAGTGACCTCTTAGTTCAAGGGCTGATGCTCAACCACTGAACCACTCCAGCCAGGCTACATTTTCTTTTCTTTTTTTTTTTTTTAAATCTTTATTGTTCAGATTATTACATTTGTTCCTCTTTTTTCCCCCCATAACTCCCCTCCTTCCAGCTCCCACCCCACCCTCCACCCTCACTCCCCACCCACTGAGTTCATCCATAGGTGCATGATTTTTGTCCAGTCAC